GAAGGTTCCAGCCTTCTGAAGCTGGCAACCTTCACTGGGAAGGAAGAATGTGAGAGGAAGGTGCAAAACAAATGTCGAGTAGGAAAACTGAGGACACTGGGGAAAAATAATTAGGCACGATTCATAAGAGGATGACTCTATGAAGATCCATCTATCTCAACTAGCATCTGCTCTTCCTACAAGTTCCATAAGTAGCTCTCCATGCAGAGCGGCCACATTGGGTTCTCAGGACAAAAAAGGAACCAGAAGTACAAGGCAGATGTGCCATGATCAAGGGACAGAAAGAGTCTGTCAAAGTACAAGAGAGCACATTGTGAAGGAAATAACCATTAGCTGCTGAGGCTTTCCCAGGGAAGTGATAAAGGAAAACTATAGACATGTGCCTACAAATAGCCAGCATTTCCTCTTTCATTCAGGAGCTTAAAGATAGATTTGGGCAACTGACTTGGCTACTTTCTAAACATTTTTAGATCACCTGGTTCTAGGAGGTTTTCAAATGTTTCTCAGGAACACAGGCCATCTTTTACTTAGAGTTACATGGCATAAGAAATTCTGTAGCTCTTTCAATCAAATAAAGTTCCCTGTTGGAATAAATGTCTCTCAGCATGCCTTGCACTATGGTAGGGCATTTTGCTGTATTTACTAATAAGGCATAAATGAATGCAACAAACTTCCAGCAGAAAATTACCTCTTATTAATGTACAAACTAGAGTTGTCAGATTTAGCAAATTAAAAGGCAAGATCTCTGGTAAATTGAAATTTCAGAAAAAAAAATAGTTCTTTTTCTGTATCAGTATGTCCCATTCAATATTTGGGATGGAATTATACTAAAAAATATTCACTGATTATCTAAAATTCAAAAGCAACTGAGTTGTACTTTCTGTGCAACCATTGTAAAATGTTTTCTTCACCATATTTTGAGCTTATCTGGAAATAATCACTAGGTCTCCAGCTGGGCAAGCAACAAGAAGTTACGAAGTTATCAATAAGGAATTTGGATTAATACTTCATAAATGTTCATTTAACAGTGATCTGAAATTTTATTTTAAAGGTCCTCTCAGAATGCGTATATGTAATATATTTTAAAAAAGTCTCCCCTGGGTTGCTAAAAGCGAATCACTTCAAATACATGTCTGTGTTTGAGATTCAAGGGTATTACATAGCCTCTTATTCTTGTCCCCAAAATCTTGATTTATAAACTTCCCAGACATGACAAAAAACAATCCACAATCTGTTCAGCATAAATAAGCCCTACTTCCCCTTATAATGAGAGAGGAGATCTTTTTCCTGAATCTGCATTCCTACTGTCCTCCTTGGGGGTTAGTGGGCTTCTAAAACTCTCAAGGAGGCTTCCTCCACTTGCTGTTGCTGAGAGATGCCAAGGAAAAGTCTTGCTCATAAAACAACCAGCCATTTGCAGCAATTTTATCTGCAAAGATTTCCTGCTGTGGCTAAATGGTGTGGCTGCTTGGTTTGTTATTTAAAAAGAGTGACCCTAGTGAAACTGGAGGTTTGAAGAGGAAAGAGTCCAATTTCAGAAGAAATTGTAGAAGGAGCCAGAAGTGAGAAGGTCTAACTGAATTCCATGATGTACCGTGGCCATGATGACACCTTTGCCCTAGGGGGACCTCTTCAGAACCCTGACTAGTAGCCCAAACCCTTCTGTGTCCTGAGAAAATAATATATTAGAAATCCCCAAGAGACGCTAAGAATTGGCGTTCAGAGCCACTGGAAGCTGCACCAGGGAGAAGCAGAAATGCTAGTGGAGATGAATGCAGGTGTAGTACCTGGAGAGGGGACTCATCCAAGTAAAGGTGTCCAGCAGACAGGTAGACACTTCCAGGAAATCAGAGAACCAGGGCACAAGAGATATTCACAATGGAAATCCCTTTTCTGGCACAGAAGTAAGACAGGAAATTAAGTGAAGCTGGACTCCTGCGCTGGCTAGCGCTCTCCTTTACAATGATGTTTAAGGCATGGAAGAATAACCTGCTTTGCACAACCCTTATTGCTTCTGGGGTGATCACACTTGAGAAAATGGAGCTGAGCATACGTGGTCATCTTGACAATAACTTCTACAGAAATTGCTCAGAGGACTGAGGATAGGCACTCTGCTGGTAAACCAGTGGGTGCTTATCAGGCCTCTGAGAGATGGGAACAAAGGCTAAAACCTTTGGTGATTTCAGAGGCATGTGATTAGAGACCAGGCTTCAGAGATAACGTTATACTCTGATGAAAATGGTAAAAATACCTACAGATTGCTATTGACTTAAAAGTTGCTTTCAAATGAAAGAAGGCATTCCTAGACCATATATATGGGCTGCAAGGTAGCAGTCCCATGGTTTGCATTGTTTGGCAGATGTTTTAGTCCAGTGTTCTTTCATGCCTGCTTTTATTTATACAGCAAATCTGAGGAAATAATCTGACTCAGATTTGAATGTAAGACTAATGACAGTGGAAAAAAGCAGGCATCTGCAGAACTGATGCAACAATAACTTTTTAAAGGGAACTTTTGAAGGTCCATCCCATGGAGTAGGTGTGTACTGAGTCTTGGAGAAAATCAGTCATCTATTTCTCTGTGCCACACACTGTGCTAGGAATGAGGACAGAAGAAATGAGAAAGTCAGGAAGGCCACTGCTATCCCAGAACTTGCAAGGAAGGGAAATAATACAGCCCAAAATTATCATAGCTTGAGGCATGGTTTTATTGGAAAAGTACAAGATACAGTGAAGGCATATACCAGGCTAATGTTAGAACAAAGACTCCATTAGAAGTGATGCCAAGACAGAAGTCTGGTGGGGAGGAACAGCATGAGCTGGGTAGAGGACCACCTGCCTGAGTCTAGTGGTGAGAAGTATGCTGGGGGACACACTCGAGACAGACAAAGAAAGAGCTAGAAATGAAAGAGAACATAGTATCCTCAAAAACTTAAGGTTCAGTACTGGAGGAAGGTGATATGCAAGTGAAAGCATAACACCAGGCAGTTTTGGAAAGGCAGGCAGGGCCCATGCTGTGGAAGACTTTATTAACTATGTTAAGGAGATGGGCCTTTATGATGGGAACAGTGAAAAGCCACCAAAAGGTATTAAGCAGGCAAATGATGAAATCACACTGCCCATTAGATCACTCTGGCTGGAGTGTAGGTTGAAAAGAAGCAGAATGGTGTGCAAGGAGACAATTTCAGAGGCCCTGCAGCAATGCAGGTAGGAAGAGATGGACTGGGATAAATAGGCAGGGGAAATAAAAACACGCTAAAGCATTCCAGAGAAACTGAGAGACTAAAATCCATACACAATGGGATGACTGACTATGAGGTGTCAGGGTTCCACTGGAGGCAGTGGATACTTAGTTAGGAGACAATGGAAAAGTCTTCAGAGAAGGGCTAAGCAGTGACAAGGGCCTATGGCACCCACAGGAACATATCTAGTTATTATTAAAAATACAAACTTGAGACCCCAATACGGGAGTCTGGCCAGAGAAATCAAGTTAAGGAATGTATAGGCATTAATCATGTCCTTGAAAATGATGTGAAAAGGAGAGGGTTCAAGAGTGAACCTTGAGAATCACTAATATTTAAGGGCTGTATGTAAAAAAGAGGAGTGTATTAAGGAGCCTGACACAGAACTATTAGACAGGAAGAAAGAAAATTCAAAGAATCTGCATCCCACAAGGGGTGACAGCTGGCAATGGAGGAGGAGCAGAGGGCAAGGTAGAAGAGTATTAGGATTGGATCACATATCCAGCCACACTGAAGCTGCTTTTAGTTTCAACTCTAAATTAAGAGCTGGGCCTAGAGACTATGGTCCAGCTCTCTCCAGAAATTAAAAAATATAAACAGGTGCCCACTGAATCCTCTATCAAGTGTATTTTAACATTTCCCAGAGCCCACATTCTTAGTGGTTTGCTTCTTAAGCTAGGTGTAGGGTAACTGGGTAAACACTGTTTTGGTGAGCAGTTTTTTCTATGTTTGATGCAGTTCAAAACAAACTTAAAATGAATGCCTAGAATATATTATTGAGTAAAAGAAAGTCAGGTATTAAACAGCAGGCATTTCCATTTATGTGAAGTTTTAGATTGAGATCAGTATAGATATACTGTATATACACAGTGAGGTGTCTAGAAAGATATTCACTACTTATCTCAATAACGATTATCTGTGGTTAGTTGGATTTAAGGTCATTTTAATTTTCTTCTTTGTGTTCTATTTTGCTTCCAGTTTTTCTAATGTGCCTTCATAGCAGTTTCCTACTAATAATAAAACTGTAAAAACACAGTATAGGATCTTCTACCCCACACAGTCAATTAATACCTCCAGGAGGATGTGCTCCAACCCTGACTGGGTTAAATGGGGCTTTGCAAACCAAGCCAAACTAAGAAACATAGTCTTACTCTTAAAGACAGAATAGAGAGACAAAGGAGATCAAAACAAAGTCTGTTCCTTCAAGGGAAAAACATTCTTCATAGGCTAACAGGTCCATGTCACCCATTCTCCATTCCTTCCCAAAGCAGCAGCCTTCCAGAGGAAAGAGGATGCGTATCCTTTTACCTTTAAGTCTAGTGCATCTGTCCTAATGATCAAGTGCTCAGGGATCAGAGAGACCTGAGGGCAACCCCAAACTGAACCACTCACTTGTCCGCAAGACTGGGAACAATTTGTACTCACGGCCTTACAATCTTATATTACAAAATTGAGACAAATTTTAAAAACCAACTAATACAAATTTTCAAGGGTTAAATGAAGTCAATCATGCAATACACCTAGAGTAATATGGACCACACCGTAAGTGCTCAGTAAGTGGGAGCTGTACAGAACAAGAACACAGGACAGCAAAGACATGATCTGCAGCACTTCCAACATCATGACTAATGGCCATGCCCAAGGCCATGCCTCCATCAGATGCCATCCTGCATGGCGCTCCACCACTTCTGAAGCCCCATTGCTAGCCTGTGAAGTTGTCCCCTGGTCTCCACCACCACATGCTCCCTGCTCCACACTCACCTATTGAGCATATTGGATTGGTAGATTCTCTTCTCGTGGGTGTTGTAACAACTGCTCTTGGGTTCAGGAATGAAGCTGTGTTCAGACAGCATGTCGGAAGCAGCAGTGGTGATGATGGCAATCCCATCTCTCACTCTGGCAGGGAGGCCATAGTCCCATTCATCATAGGATACAGAGATGAGGCCAGTAGGGAACTCTGAGGGCACTGTATCCGTATCCCCTGCCACCAGACTAGGCACAATCCATGTGTAGCCGTAGCCCGTCAGCCCTACTGAGTTAGCCACTTCAAAGATGTAGGTGGCTTCTTCCTTAGTGCAATAAAGAAGGATAATGGGGCTTTGAAGTTTCTTAAGCTGGTTCTGGATCTTAGAATCTCCATCATCCAGGGACATGTCCAGTAAGAGGACTTCCTCCAGCTCCCAGCCCACGAAGCTATTCTCAATGGTGCTGCGGATCTTGTTTACAAAGTCCTGGTAGCCAGGGAAGTAGGTGGTGACAATAGAAAAGATGTACCAGTCGTATTCTTCCATGATGTTGAGCATTACGGAAGCTTGCTGTTCAATTGATGGACCAAACTGGAAGAACATAGAGGATTCGTCCTAGAACAACAAGGGTGTGAAAAAGAGAGAGAAATCAAACCAAGGATGATAGTAGAGATTTTCAACCAGTTGAATATAAAGGTTTGTGTCTATTATTTAGTTTTCATATAATACCTATAAATTGCTTCATTTTCAATAAATATATTTTAAAAACCTGAATTACAAACATTTACAATAATTTTCTTCCTAAGAAAAATATCCCTGAGAATTCAGAGAAAATCAGCATAGAGTTATATTCTCCTTGTCTAAAATCTTAAGGCGGTTCCTCGAAATCAAACATATTATTTCCCTAGATAAGCAAGTCAGTCAACAGAATCAAGACTGTAATAGGCTCATGCCAGCCCCAGATAGGCTTCATTATCAGAGGAGTCAAACATAGAACACGCTCACACACGTCCACACATGCACATTTTCCATTGTTCAGGAGTTTTGGATTATGTGGATTGCAGAGGTGAATCATTCAGTACTAGAGTAATCTAAAATGCCACCAATCTGTCTTTAGAATTACCTGGGGAGATGGCTTAAGTTTATAGGCCCAGGAGATGGGTGACACTAAGGTTTGAACACTAGGAAGAAGTACATGTAAATGTACAACTGTTAATTAACAGTACTCTCTATCAGTTATTTATTCTGTCTCTTTTGCTCTGCTAGTTAGAATATTCTCATTAGAATGCAAGTTAGAATAAGGCTCGGACAGTTTATCTAAGCTACATGTTAAAATTCCTGGTATTTAAGAACATGCATGATTCTTTATTCTGGAGAAACAGAAAGGTTTGTTCTTCCTCTTTTCCCACAGGTCTTGGACTGGCCTGTGCATCACACATTTTCCCTTCTAGTGACTTTGAGTATCTTCTGTTGTTTCTTTCTTTTCAAGGTAGAATCCATTTAAAGTTTCCCCATTTTAAGCAGCATTTCACCTGCCATTCTAAAATGTCAAGCCCTATATTTTATTCTACCTTATAACTGCAAGAATCTGAAGCGCAAAATGAACACCCTCTCAGTCTTGTCTCTCTCCCTCTCTCAGTGCATTTCCCCCTGATGTCCTCCTGGGTAATGGCCTCTCTTTTCTTGATCTGTGCCTATATCTCTTATCCAATGATTCATTTCCATTTTATAACAATTCAGGCTAATAAAATTGTGTCTCTCTCCAAGGGGCTATTCCTTTTTATACCTCAGCTAAAGCTCCAAAATGCAGTGACAAGAAACCAGGAAACTGGGCATCTACACAAAATTATATAGTTATTTCTTGATTTGGAAACATATTGGTGTATAGCTAAGAAATTGCTGAGTATTTCTCAGGCGGCCACTGTTGAAGAAAATTACGAGGCGGGAAACATTCAGCAGGTGTGAAAGCCCCTGATTTAGCAAGGCAAGCTGTAGTCCCTTGGCCAAGCCACAGTCGTGTTTGCTCCTATGGCTTGAACTTTTTTCACATTTCCATAGACTGCTCAAAAGGCAGGAGTAGATGAGGAGTAGTGCATAGTTATTTGGGGGTGATTCTTCTACTAAGGGTGAAGTAACGCTGATTCTGGCTCCCTCTGGCTACAACGCACAGTTGAAGAGGACGATGAAATTCACAAAAGTAGGGAGACTAAACAGTAAAGAATTAATTCATGATACAACAATTATATTATATGTGTTCACTACAAGACTTGATCAGAATGAATCCTTCTTTGTGGACTTCTACAACATAAGAACTATTCTTTAGACCTGTCCTTACACTATAGTGGTACTATGATCTGAATTTCTGGGATTCCACTGAATTCATAGGTTAAAATTCTAACTCCTAAGGTGATGTTATTAAGCAGTGAGTTCCTGTGGGAGGTGATTAGATTATGAGGGTGAAGCCCTCATGAATGGGATTAGTGACCTTGTTTTTTTAAAGGCTCAAAGTGTTGCCTTGACCTTCCTACCTTGTGTAGACACAGAAGAGGCCACTTATGAACCACAGAGTAATCTCTTGCCAGTCACTAAATCTTCTGACACCTTGGTTTTAGACTTTCCAGGCTCTACAACTGTGAAAACTAAATTTATATATTGTTTGTGAGCTACCTAGTTTATAATATTTCAGTCTAACAGCCCAAAGAACAAAAATAAGTGGGAATATGAGACTAGAAAGATTAATTATTCCAAAATTTATCAGCGACTCACACAGAACCACAGAAACAGTAAAGAAAGTCCAATGACAGAACAACTTACTTCAAATAGCTATTGCTTTAAAGAAATATCTATTTGTTTTTCTTGCTATTGCTTCTAGCTAAGGAAATTTGGGTCATTCTCCATTGGAAAATATTATCCCATGAGTTTCTACAAGCTCAGTAGTTATAGCAAAGTACAAAAGCTTTCAAATATACCTTAGGGTATAGAGGACTTGGATGAAAGGGCTCCCAATTGCAAACAAAATCAGTGTACCTATTCTGTGACCAATAAGCAGGTATTATCACAAGAAGTTTTCCTGAATACATATACGGTTCCATATACAGTGAAACTATCACTGGCTCACATACGAGGCAAAAATCAGCCTTTACAGAAACCAGTGGGGTCCCTAGCAGATACTCTTATGATAATGAGATTAAATTTAAAGAAAACCAATCTATTGGATATCAATCTGACTCTCCCCTCTCTTGGTTTTTGTCTAATACTCTCCCACATTTACAAATGAACTTGTAAACACATCGCCAGCTGTTATACAAAGTCAATGCTTGATGAGAGTAACAAAAGAGAAAGTTAACACAATTCCCTTGTACCCCCACCACATTCAGATTTTCCTTCTGATTCTCTTGTCCTATACAACCTCATCCTCCATCAGCATCCAGCTCAGCCGTTTTTATCTTGCCAATTCTTCATTAAATAAGGATGCCTTCTATGGCCATTTTTTCTGGCACCAAGAGGAGGTTACTGAAGCCAAACAGAAATCAAGAGACAGAGTTACAGCATGGGCAAATGTTTCCCAGCATAATGAGTAGTCCAGTGTTATTAATTTAGTTGACACATCAATCTGGTATATACTGGTCGGGAATGGAACAGCTCTTTTCCAACAAAGCTTTGGGCTAACTATAAGCTGCAAATGGTGACAGGCTTTGCAAATTATGGCTCTGGCCACAAATCAAAACGCAATCTTCATGTGTGCACAGAGTGGAAAGGACTAGTAGCCATACATTCATCTTTGCAGGCACCCAGCATGCACTGTGATCACCCACAAGTGATCAAGGATGAAGGACAGAGACATAATTCTGTTTGCAGCTCACTAGGCTCCTTCACTTACATTTTATCTCTTAATGTCATTACAAAATACTGATATGCATGGGTCCGTGGAACAGCCTCCACTTCCTACTGAAGATTCCCAGTCAAATTTATTGCATGAATATAGTTCTTCAACTTGCCTTGAGAGAATCTTTGAAGTATTCCTGAGTAAGAGGCCACCTTAACTGAGATGAGCAATTAGCACTAGGAAGATAGAATTGTACATTGTACCCTATCAGTCCACAACCTTTTTGTTGTACTTCTATTACTTTGATGTTCAGTGTTTATTTGCTAATAAGAAGCAAAAAGCAGTAGTTTTTCATCCTATTATCTGCCTCAGAAATTAATTGCCTAAAGAATTAGCAGTCCAGGCAATTTTCCTTCTGCATCATTCAGATCTCCTACCAATTCATTTCTGCAATAAAGAATTAAGTGCACTAGCTACCAAGAAAGCTCCTGGCAATAATCTTCAACTCAATTCTCCCCACCCTTGGAATTGTCACTGAAAAGTGCCCCATGCCCAAAGTCATGCCCCTTTTTTGAGGTAAACAAAGTTGAATAACTGGTTGTCAACAGATATATAAAGATCTGGGTTTTCTGCTCTCACTTGGGACAACTCTGAAGAATCAGTTTATCCTCAGAATTCCCCCTAAGATCAGCTGGAGTTCCCATTAAAACTGTGGCACATTGTATTTCTCTGTCCAGTCCTGCCTGATCTTCCTTCCCTTTTAGGGGTTAATCTCAAGAATAATCCCTAACAAACCCCTGGCACACTAACCTCATTCTTGGAACTAGACTCTACTCATCTTCGCTTTCTAACATGGAAAAGAGTTGGCTTAAAAGACAGCATTATATCTACTTTCAAATAAAAAAATAGTAGAGAGATAAGTCCTTTGCTCATTAGCTCCAGGGGGGAGAATCAGGACCAAGGAACAGAATATTGAAAGACATTATTTAGATTAATATATGAAATGCATTTGTAACAATTACACCTTTTTAAAATAAAATGCACCTCAAAATGTAGTGAGCTCTTGGTCATTGAGACACTCAAATGGAAACTGCTTATCTGACAAAGGGTTTTTTCCCCCAATACTCTGGAAAACCCCAGGCTCACCTTCTTTAAATATGAACTCTGATATATACCATCTTTTCTAATACCCCAGTGAAACTAGTGCTTTTACAGCTTTGTGTATGTGCATCTACCAGGGCAATTTTTCCCTACTGTAACATTTGAGCTTGTTGCCTCCCATGAAAATTTTTTTCTCAAGAGCAGTAGTTATACCTTATTCATATTTTGGTCCTTAGGCTGTACATGAATTTTAAAAATGTTTATTGCACTAATATTATAAGGAAATACCTTTTATAGGGTGGGAAGTTATAAATGACATTGATGATCTCATTCAGTTCCAAATTTCTTTGCTGATGATACATGTCCACTTTGTGGAAATAAGGTTTGTCAAAAGCTACACGTAAGACACATTTTTATAACATGTGAGGGGATCCTTATTTCAGCCAGCTGCAGTGGCAGAAAATGCTCCTGGTGGTTGTTTACTTCTTTTGCAGTAAACCTCTTGAAAGCATCAACTACACTCACTTGACCTGATCTATCTCCTCCCGTTTACACTTAAACAGACTCTAATCAGACTGTGAACCCCACTGCTCCACTAAAGACTCCCATGAAAGGCAGTGGTGACCTTAATACTGTCAGCTCCAAGGTCAATGTGCTGGCACCTCTACCTATGCGTGGAGTTGACCTC